CTATGACAAGTCAGTTAGACTTGGCGTATCAATAATAATTTAAAATCAAAACGTATGGTGTAACAAGCAAGATTTTATAATCTGTCTTAACTCAGTTTTATTGTTATACCTTTTAAGGAATCACTACAATAGTCACGTTTTCAGATCTCAAGAATAAATATAATAAAATGAAACTAAATAACAATTACAAAATAATCATAAAAGTAACATAAATAATTATGTTATTAATGTCTACCTTGGGCCCTCTGGGGTGGTCACAGACTCACAGCATTGGCAAATGGCAACAGTTAAAAAGCCAAGACAGGACGGTTTTTGAAACTGCCATCAACACACAAGTGACACAACCTTGAAAATTAAGATAACATAAAGGAAGAAAAAAGAAAAGGAAAAAGTAAAATAAAGCCTTTGTTCCTAACCGTAGACCCTTTGTTCCTAAGAAAATCGAGAATTGAAGCAAGATGACGCTTGCCGAGACTGGGCCGGAGACGTTGACCCTGTTTCTGGTGAACCTCGCCGGAATAATGGACAACGCCGACGAGCAGCTGCTGCCGGCGGTTTACAAGGAGGTCGGAAAGTCTTTGCACGCCGACCCCACCCGGCTGGGCTCGCTCACCACCTTCAAATCGTTAGTGCAGGCGCTGTGCTTCCCGGTCGCCGCCTACCTCGCCGCCCGCCACAACCGGACGCACGTCATCGCCCTCGGCGCCTTCCTCTGGGCCGCCGCCACCTTCCTCGTTGCCATCTCCTCCACATTCACTGAGGTTTATTTTCCCCTTAATTTTTTCATTTTATTTTTGGAATTTGCTGTTTTATTGAAGTACTGTGTTTTGACTGGGTCACTTTTCTTTGTTGATGGCGGGGAAGAAGGGCAATTTTGGAAATCAATTGAGCATCCAAGTTTTCGAAATTATCGATTCCTGACTTGAGATCATTTTTGTTTATTCTAACTTGTTCATTTATTTTTCTTCTCTGCTTTTGAATTTTTGTGAGTGAAAATAGCACTTGTTATTTCTTTCCCAGCTTGGACTTGATTAAGCAATTATAAAATGTTTTAGTTGTCATCATGAGATCATACAGTATATGTCTGATGTCAAAATTCTCGTATTTTTGTTCTTTTTCCTTTTCCCCAAATCTTGTTTTCCTAACCCTTGAACCTCACATCCATCAATCTTTGAATGTTCAATCATACACACGAAAGAAGGAAAATCCAATACGTTTCGATTCGCAATCAATATGATGCAATTCTTTCTTTTTCCTTTCTGTTTTTGGTGGGACAAAGTTAGAACGATAGAACAAACAAGACACAGGCACTGTTGGCTCCTAATAGGGGAGCAAAAACTTATAATCAACACACACACACAAAATCAAAAAATATAAAAGAATAAAAAAAAAAACTTAAATGTTTTCCTCATCCGCCAGGTGGCAGTGTCACGTGGCCTGAACGGAATCGGCTTAGCCCTCGTGATCCCTTCCATCCAATCCCTGATAGCCGACTCGACAAACGAGTCGAACCGCGGGACTGCCTTTGGGTGGCTCCACCTCACATCCAGCTTTGGGTCCGTTTTTGGCAGCCTTGTGGCCGTTCTCCTTGCCCCCACCACCATACTCGGCCTCGAAGGCTGGCGAGTTGCCTTCCATCTGGTCGCTGCCCTCAGCATCCTCGTTGGCATCCTCGTCCACCTCTTCGCTCGGGACCCGCGTTACGACTCAAGCAGACTCAACGACAGCTGTCAAGAACCCACGAAATCTTTTCTTGGTGAGGAAGCAAGGAATCTGCTTAAGGAGGCTAGGGACGTGATAAAAGTCCCGTCTTTCAGGATTCTGGTGTTGCAGGGTGTGTCCGGAAGCTTCCCTTGGTCGGCACTCTCGTTCGGGAGAATGTGGCTCGAGCTAATGGGATTTTCGAATGGGACTACTGCTACTATCTGGTCGCTGTTTATTGTGGCGACTTCGCTGGGGGGATTGTTTGGGGGGAAGATGGGGGATTTTATGGCCCGGAAGCTGCCGGATTCCGGGAGGATTATTCTGGCGCAGGTGAGCACGGGTTTAGCTGTGCCGCTTGCTGCGGTACTCATACTTGGCCTGTCGGACGACTCTTCCACTGCCATATTGCATGGTGTCGTGTTTGTTGTCATGGGACTCGTCATTTCCTGGTGTGTCCCGGCAACTAACAAGTACGTATTTGTTGTGAGCCAATTTTTTTTTTTTTAAGTTTTATTTATTTATTTATTTTTATTGGGAGCATGGTTAGTTTGATAAGCAAGGAATCTGATCATGTGAAGGTATAGTGGGATAATTTTGTTTGAGATTCACAATGTGCTTGAAATATTTGTGTTCAAGTTGAGTTGTAAACTATGCTACTGTGAAATCTTGGATAGAACTTTGTATGTTTTCAGTCAGAGTCCATAGGTCGAACTCTACTGGTTCTTTTCTGTGCTCAGCTCAGCTGAACTCTGCCGTAATAATATACAGAGATTGAACTTAGAGCTTAACAACATATTGAAACTTAGTTCCAAAATAAGTTAAAGTTTGTAATATCTCATAAGCAGCATATAAAGCTCCCAAACACTTTCTTCAGCGTCTTAAGTCTTTTATTTTTTAAATCATTGACAATGTTTTCTCCACATGTCACGCAGCCCTATGCTACTGCAGAATATTGGGTTATTCTTTAATATCGTTGACAATCTTTTATTTTTTAAATCACCTGGAGCTTATTCTTGGATAATATCGTTTGCGATACAATGTGCCTGAAATGTTTTTTGTAATTTTTCAGTCAGAATCCATAGGTCGAACTTTACTGGTTCTTTTCTGTGCTCGGCTCAGCCCAGCTCAGCTCATCTTAAATCTCTTGTTATTTTAATCGTTGACAATTTTTGTTCACGCAGCCCTATATTTGCGGAGATAGTCCCTGAGAGAGCCCGAACGAGCATCTACGCCTTGGACAGGTCATTCGAGACCATCCTATCCTCGTTCGCGCCTCCAACCGTGGGATTATTGTCACAGAATGTGTTTGGCTACAAATCAGTCGACTCAGGAAATGTGGAGACGGACAAGGAGAATGCGCGGGCACTTGGCAAGGCGCTCTACGTGTCTATAGGCATCCCCTTCACTATGTGCTGCCTCATCTACTCCTTCCTACACTGCACCTACCCTGGGGACAGGGAACGCGCCAGAATGGCATCTTTTATCGAGTCACAAACTCAAGATATAGAGACAGACAATAGTTACGTTTTGATCAGGGATGAACCTAATAATGTGCCAAACGAGGAGGACACGAGTGCTGATTGTCGGGAAGGTAATGAGCCGAGGCTGATGTCAGTGTGAAATTTAGTTTTTTATATGTTATTATTATTAATATTGGTATTATTATTATTATTTATGTTTTCCTTTCGATGTTTCTTGGAATTCACGAATGTGCGTATAGTAAGCGAGTTACTCTGTCTGTATATAAATTTATCATTTTCAAGTTGTAATAATGTAGTTGTTAAAGCCATGGCTAAGTAAGCTAAGGGCCCGTGGCTTTACCCGCCAAGTTGTCGCCTTTTGAGAGATCACCGGTGGCTACTAAGCTTGTTGTCTTGTCGAAAACACTTGGGGACTGTTTAATGAACTGGTGTTTGATATTAGCTTATGAATTTGTTTTCTGTGGTTGGTTTTCAGATCAGAAAATGGATCCTCAGTTTTTGACGCATAACAAAGCTGTGCAGATTCTTCAGACATTTTATTATGCATCACATTTGTACTTTGCCAAGTTTGGTGTCGGCTTGTTGAGATGAATAATTTGCGTGACCAAATAAAATAGTGCTCGAGTTAAGGTGTATTGACTGAAAGATATTTTTATGGATCAAACGTTCCTGTCTAACATCATAAATAGGATGTATATGTGATGTTTTTGAATTTTTGTTCCTCCTGAACCGGAAATAACCGAGTAATTGTGGATTACATGATTTACATCTGTAACCCGCTTGTCGTAGACTTGCAAAATAAACAGATAGAGTTTATGAAGAAAAGTCTCTTAACGCTCAAAGTTTTTTTATGTCAGCACTGATTACCCAAAACTTTCTTCATCTCGATCTCATCACTGACACAACTTTTTCCATGTCTATGTCACATTCCAGTGTGAAAAAAGGTTGTCTCCTTGAGGTTAGGGCATCGAAAACTCATCTAACAATAATAAAAAATCACCGAGAAAAATATCTAAAGTTGTAAAAGCATAAGAAAATCGTACAATATAAAAGCAAGCAATAATTTCTTCGCAACTCCTTTTGTTTGTCTTTATTATGGATTAAATTTGTTACGTTAGTTGTTGTTGATATTAGGGCCGGTATTAGTTCGGTAACCGAACCGATAATATTCAAACCAAAACTGAACCGATAAGAATTCGATAATCGATTTGTCGGTTATCGATAATTCGGTTCGATTTTGTACACATGCATTTCTACTTTGTCAAATGTAAAGTAATATAAAGAGGTTGTTGGAAAAATACTTTTATAGTAAGTTTGACTAAAAAAAATAAATGATTTGACTTACTATCAATGGAAATTTCGAAAAAAACACATGTACAAAAAAAATTGAGATTTTTATGGTAACAAATTTGGAGATTTTTATGGTAACAAATTTAAATAAGATATCCCAAAAAAATTGGAGATGTTTATGGTAACAAATTTGGAGATTCCTATACCAAAATTTAATTCATTTTAAATATTAATCCATAAGAATCTACTTTTATTGGTAACAAATTTGAAGATTTTTATGCCAAAAAATTGAGATTTTGAATTGAAATATTCCAACAATTACGGATTTTTTTCCATTCAAATTAATGTTGTAAATCAAACAAAAAATTATTCCAACAATAATGGATGTTATACCAACTATTGATAAACTCCAATCCCATAGGAGATTTCTATGGGATTCTTATGGTAACAAATTGGAGATTCTTATGCCAAAAAATTGAGATATCCTAATAATTTCGGATTTTTCCCCTTCAAATTCATGTTGTAAATCAAACAAAAAATTATTCCGAGAATGATGGATGCTATACTAAATATTGATAAACTTCAATCCATAGGAGATTTTTATGGGTTTCTTATGGTAACAAATTTGGAGATTCTATTTTTATTGGTAACAAACTTGAAGATTCTTTTGCCAAAAAATTGAGATTTTGAATTGAGATATCTCAACAATTATGAATTTTTTTTATTCAAATTAATGTTGTAAATCAAACAAAAAATTATTCCGAGATAATGGATGCTATACTAAATTAGTATCACTGGGCCCACACGTTAATATGATATTAATTAGATAGATAAATTACGTAAATCTTCCCTAACAAAATGCGCTCCAATATTGTTAACCAATTTAATGAAATTTTGTTAACTAATTTGATAGGACTTTGGTAACCACGGGATTTTGTTAGTTTTTCATGGAAACACGTATCTTCATTATTGATAAGGTTTGATAAGATTTTGTTTCTAATTTTTTTTTTATCCTCTCTCGAAAATTTGATAAGGTTTGATAAGATTTTTTTTTCCTTTTTTTTTCTCTCTCTCGAAAATTTGAGTTGTGGATTTGAAAAAAAATAAATAAATAAAATAAACATATCATATTGATAAAGTTTTAGTGTGGGCATAAAAATCAATTTTGATTTGATTGAACTTTGTTTCATATAAACCTAAGAGAATCAAATGTTTGAAAAAATAAAATATTAATAGTAAATAATCATACCATATTTGTAAGGTTTGATTTGGAATATTGAGGCATAAAAATCAATTATGATTTGATCACATTTTGTTTTATAGAAGTTATCTTAGAAAATTTTACACGTTTCAAAAAATTAAAAATTATAATTTCGTAAATTAAAGTTTTGGATTTGTCCAAATAAATAGGAAAATATAAAAATAAAAATATTATTTTTCAATCTATCCAAAATGTCTTACCAAATTTCATTGTAACACACTCCATTATTTTTTGCTACATAATCTTCTGAATATTCGTTCGTCCCTCACAAGTGAATCACGTTTCGCATTTATTTTTTAACAAAACCGATAACACATATTTTTAGAAGTCAATCATAATCATAATTAAAAAAACGGATCGGATCATATTAAATAATAAATACCTTACGTAAATAATTTTTTATTTCCCAGACATATGTCACATACACATGACTATATAAACATCACCAACTTTGAACAAAAAGTATTCGACATCCAATATATCCCACAAAACAATTTTTTCTACAAGCTTTTACATCACCATTGAAAATGGCTTCGGATTTTGGAGTAATCAAGGATATCAAAAGATCTAATAAGCCACCAATCAAGCTACGCATAATTATGATGTTCCAACGAGTTGAAGACGTACGCAATTACCGTAATGTTCTTGAGATTATCTTTCATGATTTTGAGATAATATATTCATTTAGTATGATTTAAATTCATCATTTCATGCAACATCTTTTATAATTTATTTATTGAATTATTCATTATGCAATGTTTTAGGGAGGACGAATTAGTGGCATAATTCGACCTGTCAATATCCAAAAAATCATCGGTGATATTGAAGAAGGTGGCGCTTATATCTTGACAAACTATCAAGTGGAAAGCAATATTGGCATCTATAAATCGACGATAAGAAAAAGGAGGATCATTATCAATGGTCAAACCAAGATTATCAAATGGAGGGGTGATTTTCTTATTTCTAACTTTAATGGATGTCCGTAACATTGATGAAGTCATGTTGTTTGGTACGTTATAATTTTTTTGTTTATTTCTTATTTCGATTTTTTTAAATTTAAAATCTGTAATAAACTATTTTATATGTTATACATTTCAATATGATGCATTTTCTTATATTTTTGTAGATGTTATTGGATTGATTGTTTCCCATTATGTTTTCTTACGCCATTACTATAAATAAGAGTCGGGAACAATCATTATCACATGTGGGCTTATTTCTTAAGAAACCAGTGTTTAGTCATGGTCAATTATATGTTGTTGTCTCCCGTGTCACAAACAGAAATGGGTTTGAAAGTCCTAATTTGTGGCGACGATGACGTGCCAAAGAATCAAACCATGAACGTTGCATATAAGGAAGTGTTCAATAATATATAGATTTTATTATCATTGTATTTATTAATTTATTTATTATTAATGACATGATCTTTCCTTTAGTAAGTACTTTGAATTTTAACTGAACATTGTTTTATAAAAGGGACGGAGATAATAAACCTCCGTGCATCGCACGGGGACTGTACTAGTTCAGGTGAATAACAAGTATAATTATAAAATTTATATTGTTCGTTAATTAAAATAAATTTATTTTTTTATAAAATATCAAAATAAAAAAAATTAAGTAGTTGAATAATTTCTTAAACTATAAATAATAGACTATTTCTTTTACGTATAAGTTAATATTGACATGTAAGTTAATAATTACTTATTTGACTTTTAAATTTGGAACCCAAATTTAAACTACATTTTCAATTAATCAATATAAGTAATTTGTACTACATATTAATTCAAAATTCTTAATTTATAAATATTACTCCATCCTATTTTTAACAAGTGTCGTTTTGAAAAGTTGTACAGTAATTAAGAATATTTTTTAGCCAATAATAACCCTCATTAATGAGGATAGAGATGAATGTTTTGAGAAAAGTTGAAGAGTGAATATGAAAAGACGCAGTGTATTTATTAGCTACATGAGGCTAATAATGGAAAAATATGTACAAAAGATCCAAAACATCATTTATTTACTTAATTATTGGTAAAACCAAAATGACATTTAAAAAAAATAGGTGGTAGTATTTATGTATTTTTAATTTATAAGTACTAATGAATATCTCTTAACCGTGCATTGCACGAGATTCATACTAGTATACTAGTACTTTTTAGATTTTTTTACTTATTAAATTATGAAGTCCAATAAAATTAGTGTGAGGTTTTTCCACATGCGATGCCCCAACAATAACTTACCATGTACCTAATAACTAATACGAATCTCGTGCCATGCATAGGTAAGAGATATTAATTAATATTTATAAATTAAAAATTCTCATTAAAAAATATTTATAAATTAGAAACATTGAATCAATATGTAATACAATGTACCTATATAATTTATTAAAAATATTATATAAAATTTAAATTATGCAAAATTACATAAAAGTGTATATTTAAAATTAGTACACATCCCGTGCGTTGCATGTAATTGATAATAAATTACATTGTATCATTTCAAAATATGTGTCATTCCAAAAGTTTTATTCAGAAATTCGATTTGACTATAACGTGATTCCATACAATAATTATTTTGGTAAATTTTTATCTTATATTTGAAAACCTATGTGAATAATAAGTATAAATATAAAATTATATTGTTTATTTAATTAAAATAATTTTATTTTTGTATAAAATATTCAAATAAAAAATTTAAGTAGTTGAGTAAAAGCAACCAGTCAAAAGATTTTTTATGCCAAAAAAATCAACACACTTTATCATGCTAAACAAATGAACAGTGCATTTCACACAAAAATTATTTGAAATGTCGTAACAAAAAATGAATTAAATCGAAACTCACTAATTATACAAAGAAAAAAAAAATTGACCAAAGCTTTTTCTATAAAAAATAATATACACACGCACATTATATCAAAATATTAGTTCATATTATTTTGTCAGAGTTACGATAATTTTGTTAGGCTAATTTTGTACGAAAAATCGAAATAAAAATTGAAACCCACTAGGCCTGGGACTGGTCCGGTTCCTAACGAATTTTTCAGGAACCGAAACCGGAACCAGACCGAAATAACCGGTTCGATTATTACACATATATTCATAGGAACCGAAAAAGAACCGAACCGTGTTATACCAGTTTGGTTTTTTCGGTTCTTTGGGTAACCGACTTATGAAAAAAACAGGTAATAACCGACCAAAAAATTACAACTCATGTGCTAAATGTATCATGAAAAACCGAGAACCGAAATGAAAAATGAGGAACCGAATATAAAATACCAAGAACCGGAACCGATTTATATATGTAAACATATAAAACTTGTATATTTCATATATAAGTTAGTTTTCAGCTAATACACAAACATTTGGAAAGGAATCGAGAACCGGAACCGATTTGTGCAAAAAATAACCAGAACCGAAAAAAAAGTTTTTTTTTAAATAACCGAACCGAACCGGTTATTTTCGGTTCGGTCCGATTCGGTTCTCCGGTTCTCGGGTATAAAATCCCACCCCTAAAATAAACGATCCCCAATTGGCAATGTAGTTTGCAATGCAGTAACAGATACTAAAAGGGTAAATGTATTTTTTGATAAATAGGTGGTTGTTTATTACTATTATTACTACAATTGATGTTGTTTTTGTTGTGTGTGATTTAGACTGAAACTCAAGGGTGGGATTATAATTAGGAACATACCTTTTGTTCTTTGCGTGAGCTTCGTTCTAACACAAGCTGAGATTGTGCAAGGTCTCTTTCGCGCTTCAACTCATTTATCTCTCTCTCTAACTGCATTTGAAAAGCTGATATCAGAACTGTAATAATAAGCTACTTCTGAACGACATGAGCTACCTTGACTGATTCCTTCAAAACTTTGTTTATTTCCTTAAAGGAACTAATAATACAATGGGCAACAAACGAAGAGCACACCAAATAACACTTGGAAAAAGAAGTGCACACTGTAAAAACAGCTGCACAAACGATAACAAATAATATAGTTCCTCCTTGAAATCACCTCCAATAACTTCTGATTTGAGCTCCAGTCTCCACATAGCTTTCTCACAAAAATGTTGCCAACATCTTATCAATAACTTAAGTGCCTCCAATAAATCAAACACAACATGGACATTACAGGATACAATCCATATCTTGGCATTACATTCTTGTCAGGCTTAAGCACTATATTTTTACGTGACTCTCCGGTGAATCTAATTTGAGTTTCTACGAGAAAAGGAGAAAAGCAAAATCACAATTCTATGGATGCCTGGAATCTAATTTGAGTTTCTACGAGAAAAGGAGAAAAGCAAAATAACACTTCTATGGATGCCTGGAATAATTTAATTCATTTGGTTTATAGTTAATTATCGTTCATCAAAGCATGAAAGAAAGGAAATTTTGAAAGTTGACTCAAGAGAAGATTCTGACTGTATTGGATACCAGGAAAGTGAGTATTTAATGTGCTATCACTCTCAGGTATCTCTATGTTAATAGATATTTTTCTTTATTCCTCATTGACCTAATTTTAGGTGAAATCTGTCTTGCAGAAAAAACTTGTAGTACCTGCTGAATTTTCGAATCTTTTTCCTTCAGCAAAGATCTTAAACATGAAGATGCAGATGATGGCTCGGGGCTTCTGAGCTCAGCTTCCAGCCTAGCAACTTCATCTTGCAATTGCTTCACTAATTGCTTCTTTTCAACAATCTACATTTGAAAACGATTTACAGTTCGGACAACATTTATATCCTAGATGATGCAGGATTAAATGATAAATAATTGAAAAGAATCCCATTCGCCAAATGCAAGGGCACATTTTAAATATGCCAACAACGTCTACATTATAACATTGTACATCTTATAAGTCCCCTTAAATCTGTTGAACAGGAAAAACGTGTCTTGAATAAATCATAATGGTCCTTATTCATGTCGTGTCTCTATCGAGACGAACAAAATCAAAAGTGAATCCAGAAATATGCTAATTTATAATGTTCAGATTAATTGCTATATTTTAGAATATCTTTAAATTCATTATAAAAAAAAAAAAGAAAAAAAACTACAATAAAAAAAGCAAGTCAGCTATATATCGATTTGTTGTACTCCTTAAATCACATTCACAATTTGGCTACAAGGAAACAAAACTCATTGATTAAAATATTATTTTGTCAGTAGTCTTAATGTACAAGAGACTTTAAGGCTCCACTTAAATATTATAAAACTTTTATTGAACATTGTACAATTTCTTGCGTATTATAAACTTTTATTGAATATTGCATCTTATAATATAATATTCTCTAAATAAATATATCCCGTGCTTCGAACGGTCACGTACTATATATCTCCCGTATATTTTTCTTTATTCATGTATATAATTATAAGCCTGGATAAATAGTTTTAAAATTGTGTACCCCGTGACGGGCTCTGTACTAGTAATTATAAAAGTGCCATAAATAATAATGTTATTAATGTCAACCTCTGGGTTGGTCTGCCGTCTGCAACAGAATAAAAAGCCGAGACAGGACAGTTTTTGAAACTGCCGCATAAAGGAAGAAAAAAGAAAATGAATTTTTATTTTATTTTTTTTTTAAAAAGCAAAAATATCCAACCAAAATCCAACCTTGGACCCTTTGTTCCTAAGAAAATCAAGATTTGAAGCAATATGACGCTTGCCGGGACGGGGACGGAGACGTTGACCCTGTTTCTGGTGAACCTCGCCGGAATAATGGACAACGCTGACGAGCAGCTGCTGCCGGCGGTTTACAAGGAGGTCGGAGAATCTTTGCATGCCGACCCCACCCATCTGGGCTCGCTTACCTTCTACAAATCGTTCGTGCAGGCACTGTGCTTCCCGGTCGCCGCCTACCTCGCTACTCGCCACAACAGGACGCACGTCATCGCCCTCGGTGCCTTCCTCTGGGCCGCCGCTACCTTCCTCGTTGCCATCTCCTCCACATTCACTGAGGTTTATCCCTTAATTTGATTAGTATTTTTTATTTTATATTCTAAATTTGCTGTTTTATTGAAGTACTTGAGTCATTTTTCTTGGTTGATGGCGGGGAAGAAGGGCGATTTCGGATAAGGATCCAAATTTTCCATCAGCAAAAAATTATGATTACCACACACACACACACACAAAAGAAAAAAAAAATAAAAAAATCTATGAGCTGCTTTGTGAATTGGGAACAATTCGTGCCGTATTTTATTTTGTCCAAGAAATTGCCATAATTCATGTCAGGTGGCGGTGTCGCGTGGGCTGAACGGAATCGGCTTAGCCATTGTGATCCCTTCCATCCAGTCCCTGATAGCCGACTCGACCAACGAGTCCAACCGTGGGACCGCCTTTGGGTGGCTCCACCTCACATCCAGCTTCGGGTCCGTTTTTGGCAGCCTTGTGGCTATTCTCCTTGCTCCCACCACCATACTCGGCCTCGAAGGCTCGCGAGTTGCCTTCCATCTGGTCGCCGCCCTCAGCATCCTCGTCGGCATCCTCGTCCACCTCTTCGCTCAGGACCCACGTTACAATGCCAGTAGAATAAAAAACGACCCTCAAGAACCCACGAAATCTTTTCTTGGCGAGGAGGCAAGGAGTCTGCTCAGGGAGGCTAGGGACGTAATAAACGTCCCATCATTCAAGATTCTGGTGGGGCAAGGGGTGCCCGGGAGCTTCCCTTGGTCGGCACTCTCCTTCGGGAGAATGTAGCTCGAGCTCATGGGATTCTCACATGGGACTACTGCCACTATCTGGTCGCTGTTTACTGTGGCGAGCTCTTTAGGGGGGCTGTTCGGGGGGAAGATGGGGGATTTCGTGGCCCGAAGGCTCCCGGATTCCGGGAGGATTATTCTGGCGCAGGTGAGCACGGGTTTAGCTGTGCCGCTTGCTGCCGTACTCATACTTGGCCTGCCGGACGACTCCTCCACCGCCATCCTGCACGGCTTCGTGTTTGTCGTCATGGGGCTGGTCATTTCTTGGTGTGCCCCGGCGACTAACAAGTACGTATCTTCATTTTAAATCTTGTATTTTTTCAGTGGTTGACAATTTTTGTTCCCACATGTCATGCAGCCCTATATTTGCGGAGATAGTCCCCGAGAGAGCCCGAACGAGCATCTACGCCTTGGACAGGTCATTCGAGACCATCCTGTCCTCGTTCGCACCCCCAGTCGTGGGATTATTGTCACAGAACGTGTTTGGCTACAAAACAGTCGACTCGGGGAATGTGGAGACAGACAAGGAGAACGCGCGGGCCCTTGGCAAGGCGCTCTACGTGTCTATAGGCATCCCCTTCACTATATGCTGCCTCATCTACTCCTTCCTCCACTGCACCTACCCTGGGGACAGGGACCGCGCCAAGATGGCATCTTTTATCGAGTCACAAACTCAAGATATAGAGACAGACAATAGCTATGTTTTGATCAGGGATGAACCTAATGTGCCGAGCGAGGAGGACACGAGTGCTGATTGTCGAGAAACTGATGAGCAGAGGCTGCTGTCTGTGTGAAATTTAGTTTTATATGTTGTTTTTATTATTAGTATTATTGGTATTTTTTTGTTATTTTTTTCATTTCCATGTTTCTTGGAATTCACGATCTCGTGTATAGTAAGTTGGTTACTCGTGAATAGTGTGTATGACGTAGGGAAGCGCACGAGTAAGAAAGATAAACGAAATACTCTCTCGATAAAACTCACAATCAATTCATATTTTCATTCAATAATCAACTCCTCTCATAATAAAGCAAAAGAGCCCTTTTAAATAAGACTTTCAAACTAAACCCTAGCTTATTCTCCAACCTAACTACTAATTATTAAATAATAATAATAATATTAATAATAATAATCATAATTATTCTGTCCCATTCTTTCTTGTTTGAGCAGGATTTGCATTCGAATCCGACTTGGAGACGTCCCCATGACATGAATAGCCCGACGTTTCCCCCGATCGAACACGAAGGTTGAAGGTCACCAAACAACCCCGATGGTAATTAAACATAATATTGGGCAAGTACTGATCTGCTGCAAAGGCACATGTACACGCTTCCATACGCATAACCCACACAGCTGAATTAACACAATACATACCACATGATTCGCCGCACTAAAATCCATAACTACGGCCAAGCATCCCGTTGTTGGGAGACTTAACGATAGACAATCAGAATATGGCCCACCAGTTATTGAGCCTCGGCTTCGGTTCTGAAAAACCATCTTTGGCCAAAATACTTAAAAAATCAGGAGTGAATGACGGCTTACCATTCGAAGACTCAACCGTTGCGACGTCCCACGCGGGACCCATATTGTTGCAAAAATATGTCTTCGTCACCAGAGGCTCCTCATAAAAAATGGACGAACCGTCGTACAATGGCTCGTCAACTTGCTCCTCGTCGAATTCGAAGATGTCAGCGCGAAACTTGACCAAATTCGCGACCAAAATCCCTATGCACATGCCCAATTTCTGCAGCTACTTCACAGGCCCAAAAATCACGGTTGGGTTGCTCTTACTGAAGCCCAAAATCACGACCTAACTCACCTCCTACACACACCTAAAATCCGCGTCCAAAGCCCTCATCCTCTACTCTCTGTACTTGTACCGGACCTCTGTGAAATCCGAAAAATTGAGGACTGTCGTACCTATCCTCGCCTGAAGTAGCCTGACGGAAATCACCATCTCAGACTCCGTGCGACCCTCCACCTGTAGCAGACCGCCGGAAATCGCCGTCTAGGGCTCTACGCGACCCTCCGCTTGAAGCAGTTCGATGGAAATCGCCGTCTAGAGCTGCACGATTGGGCGTAAATTGGTAATAAAAACCCTCCTCAAGCCGCTGCTGGCTGGGAAATCGGATCGCCCTTAGGGTTTCCTCGTCGTCGCGCTCGCCACCATGTACGAAACCACCTCCAGCCCGCCGCTGCTCGTGAATTTGAGGTTGACCTATAGTGTCGTCGCCTCACCCTGGTGGTCGATCTGTAATTGGGTTAGCTGACCCGGTAGAGTCGCCAACATCGTTGTCGTTCAGAGGTGGTGGGGATCGCAGCCGTCTGCTTTCCCCACATTCACCTCTGTCTCCCCCGCGATTGCCCCGGCCCACAGCCCCATTGCGGTTTGTCTGCAATTCCGAAACAACCACGTTGTTAAGCGTCAAACGCAAATCCTCGATGTCAAAAGATCGGCAAACCAATCTGTAAAATGCACATCCACTTGTTGAAATCGGTAGTCAATCTATTGAAACCGATTGTTGAAGGTTGCGTCACGTTGTTCATTTGCGGCATCTTGTCGTCCCGGTGGCATCGCAAATCGTACTGACTGCTGATACCAATTGATGTAGGGGAAGCGTACGAGTGAGAAAGATAAACGAGATACTATCTCGATTAAACTCACAATCAATTTATATTTTCATTCAATAATTACATCCCCTCATAACAAAGCAGAAGAACCCTTTAAATAAGACCTTCAAACTAAACCCTAGCTTATTCTCAAAGCTAACTACTAATTATATAATAATAATAATAATAATAATAATAATAATAATAATAATAATAATAATTATTCTGCACCAGTGTGTATATAAAGTTCTCTTTTTTCAAGTTGTAATATTGTAGTTATTAAAGCCACGACTAGGTAAGCCAAGGGCCCGTGGCTTTACCCGCCAAGTTATCACTTTTTAATAGATAACCGGCAGCTACTAAGCTTGATGTGCTGTAGAAAACACTTTGGGATTGTTTAGTGCAATGGTGTTTGATATTAGCTTCATTGTTTGATGTTGATGAATTTGTTTTCTGGATCCTTAGTTTTTTACCAAGAGCCGGTCCTGAACATTATAAGGCCTTGGGCCAAACACGAAAATAATTCCCGAGTATTGAATTCATAACCCATTTCTTTATTCGGAAAAATTAAATAATAGAATTATATAACAAAAAAAAAAATGCAACCTCATAAAAAAACTAGCAACTACAAAAAAATCCAATAAAAAAAATCATTACAATCATAGAAGATAATGACATGATGTCACATTCTAAAAGATAATATGTGTTTTCTTAACTATTACTAAATCTATTTAAATATATATTAAACAAATTTTAGATTTCGTTGAAAATAGTTTTAAGTAGCGAAGCAAATCTAAACTATAAATTAATTATAATGCTATCAAAAAATAATATAACTTTTTAAAAGTAAATTGTATAAATAGTTTTTTTTAAAGTAAATAAGATAAATAGGGTAATGATATATAACATATAATTAAGTAGAGAGAGGGAGAGAGAAACTTATAGTGAGAGTGAAAAAAATGTTATTGGGAATATTGGAGAGAGATTTTCTGCAATAAATGTTGATTCTCATCATTGAATTGGGCGGGTCATAGTTTATTTTCTTTCTTTATTTTTTAAAATGAAATTAAAATGAGATAAAAGGAATATAGTGGGCTGGTCTGGTTCCCCTAATTGAATTGGGCCCTGGGTCAGGGCCGGCCCTGTTTTGACGCATACCAAAGCGGTGTATAATTTTCATGCATTTTATTATGTTTGTGTTTTAGTTCTGTTCCAGATCTAACGCGTTATATTTGTTCTTTGCGAAGTTTGGTGTCGGCTTGTTGAGATGAATAGTTTGCGTGACCAAATAAAATAGTGCTCGAGTATTAACTGAAGATACTTTTATAGATTAAATGTTCCTGTCTAACATAAATGGGTGATGTTTTTGTTCCTCCTGAACCGAAATAACCGACTTATTGTAGATCACATTGTCGTAGACTTGCAAAATACACAGATGGAGTTTCCAATGAAAATTCTCTAATGCTCAAGTTAAATAAAGTTCTTTCAAGATTTTCTGTAAATATTGTAATGAACATAATCCCCTTAAATCAAACCTATGGACCTCTCTTTATACCATATTTTTCACCTTCTTATCTTTCTAATTGAAGGAAATCCCAAGGATACTAGGATTTGTTTGCCGATCTAAATTAAACTCATAAATAGTGCTGATGTGGACATCGAAAAGCATCTCTCACCAGTTCACTTAGGGTTACATCGACATTACACAACCTCAATTAAATCGACGCCCACGCTTGTTTGTCAGGGACACATCGACACAACGTACGTCCTGTCCCCGAGTTACATCGGGATTCCATGTTTGCAACCAAAAATCCGATGTCAGCACTGATTACCCAAAACTTCATTCGTCTCGATCTCATCACCTACACAACTTCCTTATTGTCTATGTCAAATTCCAGTGGGAAAAAGGTTGCCTCCATGAGGTTAGGGCATCGAAAACTCATTGAACACTAATCGAATCACCGAGAAAAATACCTAAAGCTGTAAAAGCATAAGAAAAAACGTGCTATCTTATAAAAGCAAGCAATATTTTCCTTGCAACTCCTGTTTTGTTTGTATTTATTATTCTTTAAATTTGCTACGTTAGTAGTTGTTGATATCGCATGCCAACAAATTGACGCTAGAAAAAGGCCCCAAGATTATGTTTGGTGAATCTCTCTGTCACGTTTGTCATTTTAATCTTTATATCCATAACCTTTATGCACATCATCACGCCGTCATCCCACAATTTTAATGATAATAACAATACAAAAATCCCAAAAGATCACCCTTCCCCTTCCATAAATATGAACCAAATATTTTCAAATTCTATTTTTGTTAAAGGGTTTACCAATCTCTTTTCCATGTCCTTCACAATGTTTTTCCCAATAAATCCACTCACCAAAACACCTTTAACCCAAAGTCTACACAAAATACTTATTCCTCATTATTCAGACTAGAAATTTACCTGACTAGGATAGAACTCGATTGAGTCATGATCTGAAAGATCCCAAGAAATAAATCATATTATAGATCCCATCTACTCTAAAAAGGTATCTATAACGTAAAACTGATTATTTATCACCACAAATTTATTCCACTTTCCACCTTTAGTTAGACATGTCAAAACTACCATGAAGTCCCCCTAGGCCAAAATTAATAAATAAAAACAATATTGTAAATATTTTTGCCCCCATAAAAAAATTCACTCCATTATTACTACTCCACTTTCATCTTTTTCACCCACTTTTTTTTTCTAAATTTTTACCTCACTCTACATCTTCTTCACCAATCTCTTTCTCCCTCTTCATAAAAAATTGACAGACTAATCCTCACATTTTTCTTCATTAATCCACATGTCTAATAATCCAATATCATCTGGAACACTTACAAATGAGGTAAATATTGTGTTAACCCCTATTTTTTTTTTCTTTACATTGATTTTCACAAATGAAACGGGTTTGGGTATTAGGGATTTGGTTGGGTAAAAGGGGGAATTTGGGGTAATTTTTATATTTAAAAATAATTCAAGAATTTAAGTCCTCAATATATTTTTTACTATGTTTAGTCCTTAATATTTTATAATATTTACCCTCTCAATATAACATATGTAAATGTAGTCACTAACTAATGTCCCATGGTCCTTTCCCAAACCGTGGGCCAGAAGGTGATCGTTAACACGATCGCTAGATTCTTGGAAGAAGACTATATTGTGAACCACAAGCCCTCGAGTAGACTTGCCTTAGAAGAATTACCGGGTGAAGTTACAAGTCTTGTACCAAGTGCGCAAATAGATACACCACATAATACTGCAACACGCAACATTGAGCATGCACTTGTGCAGGCACTGTCTCGTCACAGTGGGAGGGTTGCCGACAACTCTACAGATTTATGTTTCTTAGAGAGTCTTCAGACTTAGTCTCAAGTGAACTAGAATCGGATCCTTGTACATTTGATGAGGCACTCTAAGATAAGGATGTAGATTCACGACAAAGTGCAATGAAAGCTGAAATGGAGTTTATGGACTCCAATCACGTTTGAGATCTTGTAGAACCACCCAGTGGCGTACGACCCATAGGATGCAAGTGAGTCTATAAGAGAAAGAGAAGATCAGATGGAAGGGTGGAAACCTTCAAGGCTAGGATTGTTGCGAAAGGGTATACTCAGAAAGAGGGAATCGATTATGAGGAAAACTTTTCGCCAGTAGCTACGCTCAAGTCCATTCGGACTCTCTTGGTTGTTGTCCCTCATATGGATCACGAAATTTGGCAGATGGATATCAAGACAGCTTTCCTTAATAAAAGTCTTCAAGAGGACATCTACATGCAGCAACCAGAGGGTTTCACCACAATGGGCCATGAACATATAGTATTTAAGCTGAATCGGTCCATTTATGAACTAAAGGAGGCTTCTAGATATTGGAACATCCGATTCAATGAGGTGATCCAGTCGCACTGGTTCACTCAATGTCCAGATTAGCACTGTGTGTATAAGAAGCGTGGTGGTGTTTCTTGTGTTGTACGTAGACGATATACTTCTAATCGGAAATGATAAGAATGAATTGTCAGACGTAAAGGTACGGTTATCCAAGCAGTTTGATATGAAGGATTTGGGTGAGGCATGACACATTCTTGGTATTAGGGGCATTCGAGATCGTAAGAAAAGAATGTTGTGCTTATCTCAATCTTCATACATAGACACTCTCTTGGCGAGGTTCAGCATGCAGGATTCCATGACGGGGTTCTTATCTTTTTGACATGGAGTACCTTTGTCTAAAGGGATGTGTCCCAAAACACCCCAAGAGATAGAGGACATGAAGGCAGGTTTTTATGCTTTGGCAGCAAGAAGCCTCAAGTATGCAATGTTGTACACGAGGCTGGATATTAGTTACATTGTTCGCATGGTAGCTAGATATCAAAGTAATCCAGGTTCGGGACATTGGTCTGCAGTGAAACATATACTCAAATACCTGAGAATGACTAAAGAGTACATGTTAGTTTACCGTGCAAACAATTTGTTACCACTGGGTTACACCGACTCCGACTTTCAATCAGACTGGGACGAAAGTAAATCTACCTCATGTTATGTGTTTACTCTAGAAGGTGGAACTATTTCATAGAGGAGTGCCAAGTAGAAATGTGTGGCAAACTCCACCATGGAAGCCGAATACGTCGCAGCTTCAGAAGCGGCAGATGAGTGCCAAGTAGAAATGTGTGGCAGACTCCACCATGGAAGCCGAATACGTCGCAGCTTCAGAAGCGGCAAAGGAGGCAGTTTGGCTCATAAACTTCTTGGTGGACTTACAGGTGATTCTGAGTTTGCCACAGGTTGTCTTAGTTTATTGTGATAATAGTGGTGCAGTAGCAAACTCAAGGAAACCACGAGCCCACAAGACGAGTAAACACATAGAGCGCAAATACCACCTAATACGAGAGATCGTAGGGAGAGGAGACATCGATGTTGCCAAGATTGCGTCGGAGGGCAACCTAGCTGATCCTTTCACGAAAAGCCTGGCAGGAAAGGCCTTCGCCAGGCACGTGGAAGGAATGGGAGTCATATGTGTGGCACTAAGATCGATATAGGTCTTTTAGAATAAGGGTTGAAAATGTATACTAGTAGAAGCGAAAGCTTTAAGTATAAGTGGGTAATTTTTTGTATATACTGAAAACTTTTGATTTGGATGTTATTTACACTATTTATTTCTGTTTAATAAGAATCATGTTTGATTAAACAAGTTTTATGTTCTGTTGTTTTGCACTTAGATAAATAGTTCATCACATTCACACATGCAAAGAAGATCATTTATCAGTAACTTGAGAAACATAAAGAGTTGGTTCACAACCTAGATGGAAATTGAACAAGCCATCAGAACCGTTGTAATAACAACGGTACAGTTGGTCTTGCCTGATTAATTATAATAGTACATTTATGTATTCAACGGATCTCGGAGATGAGCAATTCTTTTTATACTAATCGTCGTAAATGAACTAGGTCTCGGTTAATTCTTGCATTCTCTGAACTCGTAAGATATAAACAAACACATGTATGTAGTAGGTACTACTTTGATTCATCATAGTGAGGTTCATTCTGTCTATATCAATAATCGGCTGAGTAGGGTAGTAATGTTGCATGCATGGTATGCTGTTAAAATATTTACCGTCATCATGTGCCTCAGTTTGATGGTGTCTCCGAAGTGAGCTCATGAAGGTTATTATGTTAAATCTTGCAATTGGATTAAGTTCCAACATAATAATAATGATTTTAGTGGTGCTATCTTCAGCACAAGAGATCAATTAATTGGATTGTCGGCAATTAAATTAATTCATAGACATTATATCTTAGACATGATGAGGTAATTTGAATAATTATAATTAGAGTTCAAATCGTAATTTGGAAGTTAAATTGGGAGTTTTAATAATACTATTTTAGTGCACTAACTGTATTATTCATATATGAGCTAAGTGGGCTTGGCCTACAGTTGTTCTATATGTGGGGAACCCAATTTAACACCTCCTTAGGCTTTTTATTGTAGCCTATAAATAACCCACCTCTCGTATTGTTTGGAAGACACAACATATAAAAGAGTTCTAGTACTGCAAGAGAGATCTAGATTCTCCTTCCCACCAAGGGAGTTCTAGAGGCGTAGGAATACGGAAGGTCCTTTGGTAGTCAAGCACCGGAACATCATCCACCCGAGCACCCGACCACCATCGCCCATCTGCGCCCGCCGAGACCGCACTGCCAGCATGCATGCGACCCGCGAGCCCAACGCGCCAGCCGAGAGCACCGGATAGCCGCACGCACGACCCGCATGACACAAGCTGATTCCGTTTGACCTGCACAATCCAGGGGACTCCTAACATCCGTCGAGGTGAGTTTTTCGACGAGTGGAATAAACCGTCTCCATCAACAGTATCTCAGAGTCTAAGATTTTAAGTCGTAAATTTTCTAAGCTAAATTTTAGATCCGCTACGCATAGGTTTACTCATAGATTGTTTCGTAACTTCCACAATACGACGTTCCTCATAGATCCCAACACCACCCGCATGTCCCATGGTCCTTTATAAATCCTAAGGCCGCGATTGGATTTGGATATGAATTATAACTGATTTTAATCGGTTTTGACCGATTGAGCTATTTATACCAATCAAAATCCAACTTAACACAACTCCTTTACTTTCTATCAATATAGTTGAATAATACCAATCAATCATCCTCACACATCACATTAACTTTATAATTTACTATTCATCAACTCATACAATTTTAACTACTTATCACTTAATGATACCTCTCATACTTTTACATCGCATCAACTTTAATCATTTTATTTTAAATACTATTTAATTACAAACACAAAATCATCAACTCAATCAACTTTATTCAAAATAACTCACACTAACCAACTAAATCCAACCAAAACTGATTGGATTCATATCCCTTCATGCCTTAACGGTGGGGTTGGATATAAGTTGTTTTGGTTTTGACTGAATTTGTTGGTTAACCAGAATTAATTTTGAAAACGTTAGTGAGATTTTGAGTTTGTGTTAAAATAATATTTAAAATAAAATGATTAATATTGATTTGACGTAAAAGTACAAGATTATGTAAGTAGAAGAATAGTGAATTAAAGTTGATGTAATGTGTGAGGATGATTGATTGGTGTTATTCAATTATATTGATAATATTGAGGAGAGTTGAGTTAAATTAAATTTGAGTTAGATTTTGAGTTAAAAAAAAAAAAAAAAAAAAAAAAAAATNAGTGATTGGTCAAAAGTAATTGGATAACTTGTATTCAAGCACCCTCTAAGGGTCGTTAACCATCTATGTAACTTTCAGTCTCGGGTCAGCTCAACTCAAACCTTTTTGCCCATGTCAACCTGAGTCTCACCCCGCTGTGCCCACTCGGCCCAAGTCCAACGGTCATCCCCGAACCCTGAGAAAACCATTGCATGCCTCATTGCTTCGCCAACTTGGACTAGCTTGCTAAGCTAGCTGCCTCGCACGTGCCCGCATACCATGGACACTCGCAACTGAATCCCGCATGCCTCTCACAGCTTGGATACGGCGCCTGTACACACTATTACCCTTCGAAATAAACCGCCTGCAGCCCCCCTAGCCATGGACATGGCCAAGTTCGTATTTGCCTTTGTTTGGCCAGCACAATCCCACAGTCCAAGCCCACCGGTGCACAAGGGCATCACATAGCCCGCGCCTTATACGGTAATCGAGCCCTTGTACGTGCACGGCCTTTTCATAGCCATCACGCCTTAGTGCCTTCGAGTCAAGCCTACGCGCGTGCAAGGTCTCGTCTAGACTTAGGACAAGCCATCGTCCGACTGAGCCCTTGACTGTTACCCGACTCTACAAACCGGGTCATTTCAAATGGATCACACACGATCCCAACCGACTATAGGAGTTGGTCGGGCTCCACACTAGGCCCCACGACCCCCTCACTTGCTCCTCACATAATCCGGCTCCAACCCTTTTTAGAACACTACCTCCTCGAAGAAGGGAGAAAAAGACATACTATGAAATCAAACAAATAGACATTCAAAACCTGAGTATCGAACAAGTCTTCGTTGCCCAACGAAATGCTCGACTGAACCTCCATTCAACCCCGAAATACATTACTTTGGCCCTGTAACTTGAGTCCTCCTCAAACTCGTCCGGAACCTCCAAATCTTTTAAGAGCTCTTCCCCTTATTCGACGTCGAACACACAATTTGTTGGCATCTATCAACCCTTAGCGCACTTAGGGCTTGCTTAGATATAGATTTATTGATTTTGATTGGTTTTTTTAGTTAATCAGAGGTAACTTTGAAAAAAATGATTGAGTTAGGTTTGAATGAGATTTTGAGTTTGTATTAAAATATATTTAAAATAAAATAATTATAACTGATTTGATGTAAAATTGAGAAAAAAATGATTGAAAATGATAGTAGTTAAAATTATTTGAGTGAAATTAAAGTTCATGTGATGTGTAATAATGATACATTAATATTATTTAATTATACTGATAATATTATTGATAATGAAATTGAGTTAAAATTAAGTTAGATTTGAGTTTTTTTTTATATATATATATATATATTTACATTCAAACATGCACTAAAGCTTAAAGGTAATTGGCCAAGCCGATTTTCAATGACGCCATGTGATGTGACTCGTCTCTCCCTACTTATGGTATCTAATGAACCGTCTTCATCTTACAATAAACACACAGCCACCCAATAAACTAAATGCCTTTCCATCCCAATTTGAGTCTTTTCTTTATATAATCTCGGATCACAACACATATTGCAAACAGTGACCAAGTCTCATCAGTCAGTTAGCCAGCCAGTCGACGATTTCTCCCAGCATTTTGTTCCAATCAAAGAAATAAAAAAAATGGCTCCATTTCAAGACTCTCGTCTGAAGAAGCTATTTTTTCTGTATGTTTTCTCACTCCTTTTCATCACTCCTTCACTCATTTCAGCTCATTACCACCAAAACCCACCAAAGAGAAGTTTGTTAGAGTTGAAAGAAAATGAAGATCAGCCAATCACGAACAAGGTCCAGAAAATCTCCTCCAAGAACAACCGAACCAAACTCGTCAAGCCCACTTCCAATTCATCCAAGAACCAAACCAAGCCCATTAAATTCCCTTCTGATCCATCGTCCAAGACCAACAAGACCAAGCCCACCAAGGCGAGCCTACTTGAACACCCAGCGCCGCCGACCAAGCTCAAGAAACTCAACTCCACTTCCAAATCAAACTCAACTTCTCTTTCAACCAAGAAAACCTCAGATCTATCTGCCAAGCCCACTACAAGCAAGCAGACAAAAGCCCAGAAAAATCAGCCCATTTGGACTGAAGCCGACGACGACGACTTGGTTGCCGGATTTAGGGATCTGCCGACAAAATTTCAACAATCAATCGTTCCAGACTTGCAGAAAATCTCAAAAACTTCTCAAAATTACATCACAAAATACAACAAAGAATTTACCAAGGGATTCAAACCTTATTTCGGCCATAAATACGCTTCCGCCATTGCTCCTTTAGCCTTGCTTGCTTTCGTCTTGATCCCTCTGATTATCGTGTCGCTCATTTTCAGCAAAATCAGAGCCTATTTTTCTCTCCAGAAGCTCTTGATTTTCATCCAGGTTTATCTAGCCATTTATTTCGCCATCCTGGGCCTGTCGGCCTTGGCCACAGGGCTCGAGCCGCTGAGGTTTTTCTACTCTACGTCGCGGTCCACCTACGTGTGCGTGCAGGTTCTGCAAACGCTGGCTTATGTGGTGTATCTGCTGATCTTGTTGATGCATCTGATTCTGGTGTTCTCGACTAAGGCTGGGCCGGTGACTAGGCTCTTGGGCCTGGGCCAGACTTTCGTGGGTTTCGCGGTTGGGCTTCATTACTACATGGCGGTGTTCCACAAGGCCGTGCTGCAGCAGCCGCCCAAGATTAGTTGGCGGGTGCACGCGATCTACGCCACGTGTTTTCTTTTGATTTGTCTGTTGGGTAGAGTTGACAGGGGTAAGAAGACTTATTTGGAAGAAGGTGGTGAAGAGGGGAAAAAGAGTTGAAAATGGAAAAAGAAATAGGATTTTTTTTTTAATGTACTGTGTCTTCAACCAAATTAATAATATCCAACACATGATATGTGATAAAATTAAATATATCAATCGTCATGTTTTTTAAATATATATATATATATAATAAATATGAGATATTTAAGATTTGCATTAAAATTTGTAATTTAGATATAAGATAAAAAATGGATGTGTACCAAAATATAAGTACAAAGAATCCACATAATATGAGACTCTTTCTAAACTTTAAAATATTTTGTAATTAGATAAATATGGACAAAAAAATCATCAATTATGTTGAACAATCTGAAATATAAAAATTAAATGCTTTATTCGTTAAATCATCGACCGCTTTTTGTAACCAGATTTACATATTTGACAGAAAAAATTTAATGAAATGATTGATAGGATTTTTTGGAAGCAAGATTTTCAAGATTATTTCTCATTATTAGCCAAAATTACTCGTAACATTCAAGGAAATCATTGGCTATATTTTTAGGAATTAAGGTTTACCCAATATCTTTCTCAAATAACATTTTTTTTTCTAAATTTGAATTTGAATTTTCATTTAGCCACTATTTTCCAATATAAAAAGTACTAAAATAATAACTTTAAAAATTTAAATGGGAATTTTAATACTATTTCAAGTAAATACCTCTCACTAGGATATAGTAATAGATTTTTATTTTATGGACTGTGATTCTTTTAAAGAAGCGAGGAAAGAAAATAGGAAGAAATGTAATCTATTATGATTATAAGATTATTTAATTTATAATAAAAGATATGATTTACTTTTTATTTCTCAAGTCAACCTCAACATGATGATCCTCGCTTCGACATGTATCTTCTTACATAGGCTCCATTTCTATTATGTAATAATTATTTCATATCTCTTGCGATGCAGAGATGATAATATTAAAATTATTATTATAAATTAAATGTTGAATTACGTGTTTTTACTCTATAGTACATTAATTTGAAATAAAATTACTCTTCGTCATAAAATTATGGAGGTGCATTAATTTATTAAGACAGTCATGAAAATTGGATACGGAAGTGTATGAGTTCAATGTAAGTTTCTCAACCTCGTTAACATGGATATAAAAAAATGGCATTTTCTAATTCATTCTTCATACCTTTTTTCAACTTCATCTTTAGTCTCTACGCCTATTTTTTTTCACTTCACTCTCTACCTCATGCATTAAAATAATAATCCTCTAAAATTCTCACAATACTCTTATATTCATTTTAGTTCAGAAAAGTAGTACCAGTTTGTATTGAAATAGTACCTCTTTAATAAGATAGTAGTACATACTTTATTAATTAGCAGTACCTACTAGTTTCTTAGTGCCTGAGTTTACTCTAAAGAGTACTCAGAAGAAGTGAACAATACCAGGCCCAGCATGCTTCCGTAAAATGAAATAACTCCATAAAATTCATACCTTTCTTTACCGAAATGTTTCCGAGTAAGATGGGTTGCAATTCCACCAGTCGGAAAATTAGTGCACCTAGTTCGTTTCACGGATGGCTCCTTACCGTCTAGCTCACTAATGGAAAGATGAGCTACAAGTTATTTGACTCCTTCAAATACCACTCATCACAGGTTCGTTTCCTACTCCAGGTGTGCAGGAACTTAATTATGGAGATAGAGAAAAATTATGTCTGCATGTTGTGAAGCAAAAGCCCCATTTTTATTATGATATCAAAGAGATTTCATTACATAAGTAATCTCTTTTAGAGAGGAGATAAATAACTTTTAGCCTCTCATAGCAGTGGCGTACATACAAACACACATAAAATTTTTGAAAAAAAAATAAAAGAAAATTACAACTCAAAACACTCAGTCTATTACAAAGATTTTATTATAGTGAGAAAGCTGAATAGAATGAACGATGCCTTCTGCTTTCTCCAAGCATCCTATTATACAGGGTATAGATTTTCTATTATTGCTTCCACCGACGGTAGGTGGATGCTTAGATGTATACACGTGCTTTTGGGTCTAGGTCTTTGAATTATTCTGTCACTTCTTTATTAAAAATGACTTCTTTCTTCACATGGTGTAGTTCATGTTATTTCTCCGGTGTCTCTCTGTATGACTCATATTTTTATTCGTTTCTTCTCAAAAGAGAATATTTTTCTTTCATTTTGTCCCTACCATTATCATAGTAGGTATTCGGTTGCTTTCCTTTTGGGGAATTCATTTTGAAATATTTGCAGAATATTTTCATTTGTCTCTTCTCAAAAGTTATTTTCATTCGTTTCTTCTCAAAAGAGAACATTCTTGATTTTGATTGTCATTCAGTTATGCCTTTTCCTTTTAAGACTAGATCTGAAGGCTCATCTGTTTGTTTTGAAAATATTTGCAAAACACTAGAGAGATTTCTCATGCAATCCGAAAGTTTCGTCTTGTTAAGGCCAATAGATACTTGGAGAAAGTGCTTGCCTACAAGTAGGCAATCCCCTTCACCAGTTTCTGTGGAGGTGTTGGAAGAACTGCTCAAGCAAAGAACAAGCACTCTAACGGTCAGGTCGTTGGCCTGTCTGTCAATTTGATCTTAAATTTACTCAAGAATGCTGAAAGCAATGTTGAGGTACCCTATTTTAGTCTTTTTTTTTTTTTTTCTATTTTACTTTTTTTTTTTACGAAACGATAGGAAAACTCTATTATGAATGATACAAAGTTCGAATACATAACGGGATAAACCCAAATAGCCGAGGGCATAAAACCAGAGAGGATTACATACCTAAACATGTAGCTAGAGACCCAAACATTCAAAACATAACAAAACCAAAAGCAGTACATACACTGAACCCTTCAGTTTTAATACAAACACACCTTACACTCTAACATGACATATAACAGAGATTAATGTTTTATTTTTTGTTAGAGATTAATGTTTTATTTTCTTTTTATTGTAGGTGAAAGGTTTGGATGTGGATGCACTCTTTATTTTCCACATTCAGGTTAACCAGGCCCAGAAGCAGAGGCATCGGACATATCGTGCTCATGGACAAATCAATTATATGTCAAACCTTTTCTTTTAAATTAATGTGTAATTTGAAGGTTGAATTATTATTCAGTTCAATTGTCATATCTACGCTAGCTAATGTCTTGTTTTGTGTGTTGTGATGTTATGTTTTAGAAATATTTACTCTTTCAATTAGGGGTGGAAAAAAAATCGAATTTTCTCGTACGAACCAGACCGAAATGCTTATGTTTTGAAAAATAAGGTTTTGAAAGGTTTTCTTTATTATTGTCCCGTTCCTGTTACCGTATCGGTTTAAACATTGTCGGTATCGGTTTTGAATATTTTTGTCCTGAACCGTCCCGTTTGTCCTGTTTTATTCTTTACGTACAAAATATTATATGTATATATATATATATCATATTATATATTATATTAGCACTATATATAGTACCATATACATAATTAACAATAGGTCATTTTGGCATTCAAGCATCAATAGAATTCTAACTTTGTAACATAAAAAAAATAAAAATAAATAAAAAAATAAAAACTAAACGATACATTTAGTAATTTGGTTTTAAAGACAATGTTTATGTTAGATTTTAGATGTTGGTGAGTGGTGACTTAAACTTAATGGATCACTATGTTTGTTATAATGGAATCAATACTCTTTAGTAATTTAGTTTAAGTGAATACTTGAATCGGTGTGTTTGTTTTAATCGTAATTATGGAATCAATATGTTGGTTCTTTGTTTTAAATTGTAATGGAATCAATACTCTTTGGTTTAGTTTAATGTTTGTCTCGTTTTGTCCCGGTCCCGAATCGTTCTGTCTTGGTCCCGAATGATACCAGTCCATTTTGGAAGGTGTCTCATCTCGTATCGTTCTCGGACCGGTTCATAAAAGCGGGACATGTACTGTAACAAGTCAAATCCCGGACCGTGCCTACCCCAACTTTCAAGTAGAATTTTGAGCTGCTAACATGAGGAAAATTCTTTCAGTTTACATGTCATCCCCCTGTCACATCGAGTTGATTGTATCTGAGAATGAAGAGCCTGTCAATATAGAAGTAGTTATCTTTGTTTTTATGGTTTTGGTTTCAGTTTGTCAAAGAGTTTCTATATTAGGTCTGTAAATGTTGATACTATAGTTTCTCCGGTTCATGAATGACTTATTTTCCTGTTTTATTTTGCAGCCCGAGTAATAATTAGCAGCAAGCAAACCTAAGAAGGCTTGAGCTTGAGATGGTTGATCTGTTTTATTTTGAATCAAATTTATGTTATCAGCATAGTGAGTTTCTATTTTGAGGATTATTGAATGAATATCAAATGTTTTTATTTTTATTTTTTATATTTTTGCAATGGGATGTTAATGGTTATTATTGAACTTATAAATGAATGCATTACTGCTTCGTACATATCTTTTTGTCAATTAAGCTATAATTTATATCTACTATGTGTATTCTTCAACCAGATAAATATATAAGTTTATTGATTTATCTAAAGTTCATTTTAAAATAATTATTAGACACAAAATACTGTGGGAAATTGATGTTTACAATTAAAATTTTATTTTATAATTGCTCGCAAAGAACCACGTAATATTGACCAAAAGTAGTATTAGTACAATTTATTTTCTCAAACAATTATAATATATGCTCTCTTATATCGTGTGAAAATTGAAAAATGAAATATACTTGTATTTAATGATGTGATTAGAAAAGAAATGTGATTAGAAAAGAAATGTGATTCAACAACAGTTGAAGCTTGAGTTGTTCATACAAAAGATTGAAATTGGTGTCAAGGCACTCAATTGGTTTGATTATCATGTGCTCTCAATTAGAAGAGTTTATGATGATAAAATGAAAACAAACATTTCTTTCTTATCTGGTAAGTAGAGTTCCATTGCCTTGCGAGGCATGTTGTAGCACAAATTATTATTTTTACCGAGTACCGAATCGAAGGATTCGTTCCCCGGGTCGATCTCACAAGGAATGCGGTTCGGAATTTAGCTTTGGTATTGATTTCACACAAAAAGAAAATAAAATCCTAAACACTCTAATCAAATAGAGTTTTTGAATAATTATTAACTAAGAAAGAAAAAAACAATAATCTACCTAAGAATAAAAGAACGAAATAAATATGGGGAAGCTAGGGAATCAGGGATAATTAATTCAAGTTCTAGCAAAATCGGACAATTAATCGCTTGGTTCGAGATTGACACTCTTGCTTAGACATCTAACGGTTCGCTCCCAATAACTCTTCGTAACAAGAGATTGAACGTAGACAAACAAACTCGAGCATACGACACAGGCCAATTATCCCAATCCCAATAACTTTTCATAACAAAGGACGGGTCATCGACAAGCACATATTTCAATCCAAAACCAGACTATTCAATTACGAAATCATCTACCTCATGCGAGCCTAGTGTTTGTCCTATTTTTGTTGCGTTTTTCGTGTTTATTTTATCTTTATTTTTCCCCATTTTAGGTCCTTTCTTTAGTTTTTAGTCCGTTTCATGTTTTATTATGTGTTTTCCTTCATCTTGAGTCTTTAGGTGTTTTTCATTTGTTTTTCCGGTTTTCTTTTGTGTTTTGTCGTTTTTGGTGTGTAGGTCAGGAGCTTCGAGCGAATTTTCTCTTCAAGAAAAGCTGGTTTTGAGAGCACAATTGGATAGATGGGTTTGTTAGTGACACGTAGCAAAAAACGGAACTCAATTCCGAGTTCGGATGAGCCCAAACGAGCCCGAAACGTAAAATGGCGCAGTGCAGTCCAAAGTCGCGACTCGCGAGAGCAAAGTCGCGACTCGCGACTAAAACAGAGCCTCCGACCAGCTGCGCGACCCCACGACCCGTCTGACTCGCAACTCGCGAGTCAACTCGCGACTCGCGACCTGTTCGACCCTGTTTTTATTTTTCTCCGTTTTTACTCGTTTTAGCTCCGTTTTTCGAGCTCTATATATGAAAACGAACCCCCAGACCTAAGGAACAATCCCCAATATCGTTCCTTTCAATTTTTCTCTCCAAAAACTCAATATTGTTAGGATAAATTTCTCCACTTTTCTTTTTTTTCTCTCATGCTTGGATTGTTGGACACAAAGTTATTTGGATTGAAATCTTGCAACTCTTAATCCGATTGTAAGTTTTTCAATTCTATTTTATTATTGTTGATTGGTTTTATGTTCTTAATTCCGGTTAACATGAAATTGAATCTAAGCATGAGGTAATCCATTCACCTAGGGTTAGGGATTTTGATTCTTGTTTTGAATTATGAGGAATGTGTTTTGTTCAATCTATACGAGTTGTGTGAATTATATGGTTAGTTGATTGATCACCATTCTAACCTAGTTAATCGACGTTTAGAACCGAGAGGGGAGACGTCGGTCGATTTAGGCTCGTATAGAGTAGACATGTTCGTAAAAGTATTGTCTATGTGTTGCTTGTTTGAATGAATTTATCGTTTATGTTTGTGCTCTTGTTACGAAGAGTTATTGAGCATAGCCCTCTAGACGTGTAGGCTTGTTTAATCTCGTAACCGAACAAATAAGCGTTCAACATAGTTTAAGACTTGATGAGATTTCCCGACCCCTAGACCTTCTTCTTTTTCTCTAGAAATTTAATTGTTATTTCTTTAAATTGTTTTTCTAGTTCTAGATTGTTTTAGTTGATTCCCCAAATCAATCGTGATTAGAGTGTTTGGTACTTATTTTCTTTTCGTGTGTGATCAAGACCAACGCTAAATTCCGAACCGTCTTCCTCGAGAGATCGACCCGGGGAACGAATCTTTTGATTCGGTACTCGGTAAAAACATAAAATAATTTGCTACAACACCTAGGTCTACGACTTCTCCCCTTTCGGTTTTGAAAGTCGCTAATTAACTAGAAGGTGATTAATCAACTAATCATATAGAACTGACAAACCCTAACTCGACAAATTAACATTCAATTGTTTCCAATCGCAAGATCGAAGTGTCACTCTTCGATTATATCAATCAATCATGCAAGATTACATCAATTCCTAATCAGATTAACTCACATAAGCTTGAACAATTCAAGCACGACAAATACACGTGAAACATGAACATTCATCCCCTATCCCTAGCAATAAGATTTAGCTAAGTAACATGAATTCAACACAATAAAGCATTTCACCCCAAATAATCTTTCTCGTGAATTAAATGGGATGAAAAATACTTACAATCAATCCAATCCGAAAGTTGAATCCAAATTACATACTTAATTCTTAGAGGTAGAGAAGAAGAAGAAGAAGAAGAAGAAAAATGAAAAAGAAAGATGAAGAGAGGAGGAAAAATGAAGAAGAAGAAGAAGGTAGGGAGGAGAAGAGAGTTTGCGTTCTTTTTCTGAGCCTAGTGTTCGTCCCCAGGAGGGGAAGAATCCTTTCTGTCGTGTCCCGTATGTGTAGTTATAGGGAGCAGGGTGAAAGGTGTGAAAATCAGGCCGCGCAGCGTGAAGAAGGCTCCGCGGCGCGTGGAAGGCGGGCACCGCGGCACGAAGGGTGGCACGGCGCGGTGCTGGGAGGCCTGAGAAGTCTTTGTCGGGATCGCGGAGGCTCCACGGCGCGGAGAAAGGCCGTTCCGCGCCGCGGAGTATGCTTCACGCCGTGGTGGAAGGGTGTGCCGCCGCGGAGGTATGGCCGCGCTGCGGCGTGCGGGACTGCTCACTTGACTTCGCTTCTCGAGCTCGTTTGGATTCGTCTGAACTCGAAATTCGATTCCGTTTTTTCCTACGCGTCGCCAACAAAGCCTTCTATGCAATTGTGCTTTCAAATGTAACTTATTCTTGAAAACCTGTACTCCCAAAGATTTTGACTTGGAGGTGATGGCTTCCGTGCGCGACTTCACATATCAGGCCCGTCCGGACTCGTTCGAACTCGAAATCGAGTTTCGGTTTTTCCTATGTGTCGCCAACGAACCCATCTATCCAACTATTATTTCCCAGCTCATTTTCAAGCTAAATCTATTTCTCACGGGCTTCTGACCTGCACACCAAAAGCAAGAAGAAAAACGTAGAAAACCGACAACATATACGAATAACACATAAAAGCCAAAATAGATA